CAGCTTCCCTTGTTCCTCTGCACTGCCAAGGGTGGGGAACTAATTCCTTGGGAGGAGGTGCTGATTGCCAAGTCACCGTGAAAATGAGGCTACAGGACCCTGCTAGGAAAACAGCCTCCTTCACTCTCTACTCGGCCCTTCCTGCGGTGGAATCTGTCCATTTGGCCGGCAGCTCCAGCCACCAAGTCGCAGCAGAGAGGTCACCACGTGTCTCAGCTTGAGGAGCAGCCTCCTTGGTCACTAGACACTCTCAAGGGTGCGCGCTGTTTCCTTGGTGCAAAACAGCCCCGCCGTGGATATTCAACAATGGGGCTCCTTTGGTTGTGGGCTTCAGACACACACCGACACACATACACACTCGCAGAAAGAGAGCAAAGAGGAGGAAGAAGGGAAAGAGAAGGAAAGAAAAAAAATGTATATATATGTATATATATACAAAAAACTATAAAGAGCAAGAATTAAGAGAATTATGTATATAGAGAAGGGAAAAGAGAGAAAAGGAAAAAAGAAAAGGAAACAAAAAGAAAAAGAAAAAAGAAGAAAAAAAAAAGAAAAGATAAAAAGGAAAAGAAAAAAAAGAAAAACACACACACACACAGAAAAAAGACCCCTTTACTCCACCTGGAGGCAGAGGCAGGTCCTTTTGCACGATGTGTGGGTAGGGGTCGAGTCGCCTGGTGGAGGGGCTAGTTATGTCGTCTCGGATCACAACTATACAAAAAATTTAAAAGAAAAAGAAAATGCCCCCTTTACTCTGCCTAGTGGCAGAGGCCGGCCCTTTAGCGCGGTGTGTTGGGGCAGAGGTCAAATGGCTGGGCAGAGGGGGACTTATGTGTCCCAGATCACAGTTCTATAAGCAATGTCCCTCAATTCACTCTCAGTTCCCCGACACCTTTGCGGACAGCGCCAGCGACTGAATGGAAGAGGGCTGCCGGAGACCAGTTGGAAACTCGGCTGCAATATCGCTCATTCTCTCTTTTCCTCTCTTTCGGAGGCGGGGCTTGAGTCTGCAGCTGCGACAGACTCCGCAGATTCGTGAGAAAAAGTGGCTGCGCGTGCTACTCTCCTCGCAGGGCGTGACCAGCTCTGCCCCATAGGCAGTGGTTATGACTCAGGCGGATGCCCGGGCAACAAGTCCCCGCGGTTGCAGGCTCTGGGGTCCCTGAATTGCAGCTGGCCACCCTCTGCTAGTCAGTGCTGAAGCCGACTGCACTGGGAGGGCATCCAGAGCCGGGGTCCGCGGTTCCCAGAGCTGCGACCCAGGGCCACCCACTGGGCCCACCACCCCCCCTACACACGGCTGCTCTGGACGGATCCACGGGAGGACTCTGTGCTGTGTTCCTCCAGCACCCGCTGAACTTTCAGTGATTTCCACGGGCAGAGCCTCTTTTATGGAGTTCCCCTCCCCCGATCTATTCCTGGCGGTCTCCTGTGCCAAGAGGCTGCCTCCAAACTCTCCCTTGTGGGCTCAGGCGGCATCCGATCGGGGGAGCGCGTGCTCGGGCCGGTCCCTCCCCTCCGATGCCGACCCAGCGCCGCGCTCTGGCGCTTTTGAAATGGACCCAGCTCCTGTCTCGGCTACCCACCGCTTGTCGGTCTGTGCTACCACTTCGCACTGATTTCTGGCACTTCCCTGCCTGCATGGGAGTGGGGTTTGGTAGAGGAAGAGTCGTCTTCCTGTGAGTCAGATCTCACTGCCCGGGCGAGCCCGCCGCGGGGAGTGGCCATCCCGCGCTGGACTTCCCCTTTGTCCCAATTCTCCAGTAATTTGCGAGCTCTTATCCAGCTAACCTTACTCTATCCGCGGGACTGCTTGTCCCTCGCTGCTTCTCTGCAGATTCACGAAGCTGATCCTGCAGGGGAGCGCCTCACTCGCGTGTGGGTGTCCGTGTTCTTCACCTCTCACTCTGGGAGCAGAGAGCCAGGAGGTCACCCCTAATCCGCCATCTTCCCCTCAGGATGCTGCTTACTTTTTGCGTCTCAGTTTTCTCACCTCTAAATAGAGTTACTAAGAGCACCTATCCCAAAGGCTCTGGTAAAGGCAAAAGGAGTTAATATTTTCAAAGCTCCCTTATACAAAGTAAATGTTCAAAAATGTTAGCTCCTACTTAAAATACTTAATCGTATGAAACGTACGCCACTCAGAATAAATACTCCAAACATATATTCTTTAAATGTACAATAATATTCTCTTTATTGCTAGTTTTTTAAGATTAGATTTTTCATGTATTTTTTAAAAAATTATTGGGTTTCCCTGATTATGTCATTCCCTGGCTTGAAATGCTTCATTGTGTCCCCATAATTTTCAAAGTCAAGAACAAAGGACACATAAGGTATTGCATGATTACAACATCATTTATCTCACTTTGTTTTATATTTCAAATGTTATTAATTGTACATTTCTCAAATAATACAATAAATTATATATTCTTGAATTTCTTAGGTTAAAATGCACAATTTATTTCTTAGGTTAAAATGCACAATTTATAAATAAAGCAAAACTCCCCACATAAACTACTCTCAAACTTAATCCCCTCTCCAAAGGTACTACTACTGTCCTCAGTTTGAGGTATTTCCATCATGTTGACATTTATTTGTAGAATTTAGCTCACATGAGGGACCAACAGTGTAGCAGGTGCTGTCTTAAGTGCTTTTCATATAAAAAAAATTATTTAATACAAGAACCCTGTGAGGTAAGTACTTTTATCATCTCTGTTGTATAGAAAACGAAACAGACTCTGAGGGGTTAAGTAACTTTCTCAAGGTTATGTAAGCTGGGGAAGGGTTGAGCTTGGGCTCAAATCAACTTTTATTTTTCTAACCACTACACTCTATTGCCTCTCACTACCTTCTATAGGTTTTTGGTATCATATTATAGCTAACTGGTTCTACAACTTACCTTTTTCATTCAGCAACATATTATGGGAAACTTTTCATGTCAGTACACATTGATCTACTTCACTTAAAAAAACAAAAAACAGCTGAGCACAGTGGTGCATGCCTGTAGTCCTGGCTACTCGGGAGGCTGAGGCAGGAAAATCTTGTGAGTCCAGGAGCTTGAGGCCAGCCTGTGTACAGCATAGTGAGACCCTGTCTCTAAAAACAAAACAAAAAACATCAACAACAGCAAAAATCTTATATGTATTCAATAGGAAAATTTATGTATCAATTCTCTGATGGTCAGATTGCTTCAGTTTGTTGAAGTAAATAGCCTTTTATTTGTCTACCTTTTCTGTATGAAATGAGGGGAGATTAGAGAGCTACGAGTTTAATTATTTGGTCCTGGGAGATGGGCATTTAAATTGTAATAAATGCTACTAAATCACCCTCTCTTCCCAATTTATATTCTCGTAAGGACTTCTGTTTTAAGAATTGCTTTGGCTATTTGTGCATATTTATTCTTCCAGATGAAACTTAGAATTTCTAAATTAACTTTTCAAGTTCCATTAACAATTCTGCTGGGGGGTGTCATTATTTTTAAAGCCTCAACTTTTGCTGTTCCAAGATCTTAAGCTTTGGGATAAAAACTATGCCATCCTCTGAGTGTATTGTGTGCTTTTACATCTCTGGGCATATATACAGGCTGTGCCCTTTGCTGCCAATGCCATTTCTTTTTGGCCCAGCTGTCTGCCTCTACCTCTAGAAAACTCCATTCAAGAGTCTACCCAATCCTTGGTGAAGTTGTCTTGAGTTCCCCTCCCCAACCCCCCAGGCCCTGCCTGAGTGGCTTGCCAAGAACACCTCTCCTGGCTGTTTCACTCCACTCTCGCCCCCGCCAGCCCGTGAACTCTTGAGGAATGGGGACTCCATTCAGAACTAACTGAAGAGCACCTGGCTCACAAATTTATTTTTACAACAAATATTTATTGGCTGGATGCTAAATACTAGGACTGTTCTAAGCACTGGAGATATGGCAGCAAATAAAAGAGAACACTTGTTCCCACAGGGCTTACAGTCTATTGGTAGGGGGAAAATAAAAAGACAAGTACTTAATATTTTAGGTTGGTGAGTAATATGAAGGAAAATGAGCCAAGATTAAGAGAGAAAGGAGTGGCTGGCATGGTGGTGGGAGAGTGCTATTTTAGGTAGAGTGGTCAGGTGAAACCTCTCATAAAACGTGATATTAGACCAGAGGGGGAGTAAGGTATGCAGATATTATGCAGACCACTGTTCCAGGCTGAGGGAACAGTGTATGCAAAGACCCTGAGGGTGTATTCTTGGACAAAGCAGGAGATGAAGATTTGGAGAGGTGACCTGGGATTGTTTTCTATACAGCACTGTGGGCCATGCATGGTAAAGATGATGGGTTTTATAGAGTTAGATGGGGAGCTGTTGGAGAGTTTGCATTAAATTGTTAGGTGGGGACCTCATGAGGAGCTCACAGCATGGGTTATAGAAAGATTTCTCAGAGTGATTAGGATATACAGAAGTAAAAGTTTATTTATTTTCCCAAGGACAAAAGAGGGAGAGAGAGAGAGAGACCACAGCACACAGGGATAGGAAAGAAATATTGGGTAGTGAGGAAAGTTGCTTAGTGCTTTAAAGGGTAGAAATGGAGTTGTTTTTTTTTTCCCTCTGCTTCAGCAGACTGATAAGAGCAGCTGTGGAGCAGCAGTGTTTGCTTTTCTATTTTTTTTTTCCTTTTCTCTGTGAAACCAGCTTATCTGAGTCTTTGGACTCTGGCAAGAGTTGAGACAGAGAGCTGGAGTAGAGAGCTCATACCTCTACTGTCTGTTTAGGGTTCTTGAAGGCTGACAAAGTGAAATCTTAGAGGTAACAAGTTAGGCCACACATGTAATTAAACGAAGGGTAGTTATGTTGTGAGTTTTATTTCTCTTATTTTCTGTTTGTTTATTTTCCTATGTTAGATCGGTTATTATTAAGACCACCATTCATGAATTTAGGTTTTAAAAGGATCATTGTGGCTAAAAAATCTTTGAAGAAAAGAATAATAGAAAGAAGTAAAATATAAAATGATCTGTCCTTTCCTTATCTTTCAGGAAACTACACTCTGAGAGTTGACTGTACACCACTTATGTACAGCTTGGTATACAACCTAACAAAAGAGGTAAAAATAATTACACATAATTTAAGAAAATCTAAATTCTACAAGTGATGTTTTCTTTAGGTGCTATTATTATGTGAAACGTTGGTGTTGTTTTACAACTCGTTGTCTTTATGTCATATAACAAATATCCATTCCTTAGAACATCACATTTAATAAACTGTTTAAAACACATTATTACGTCTTTTCTCTCCACACTACTGTGAGGCATATTGTGGGTGACATTAAGTCCATCTCCATTTTGAAAATGAGGAAACTGAGCTCAAAGAAAATCAGCCACCAAAGTTATACAACTTATCCAGTAGCCGAACCAAGGCTTGGTCCTATGGTTTAACTCCTTAATTTTAAAACTGGTTTATAGTCCTTAACATAGTGATACCAACTAATTCAGGACACAAACATAGTTAAAGGTTCTAACGGATTGAGAAAAAATATGCAAAAAACTATCAGGTGCTGATTTCCAGGGGCAAAACAGTTTGGGGCAGAGGCTAAGTGAGACTGTTAGGTTCATCTGTGTGGATGTTCCCTGATCCTCTAGTTCCTAGTGTCGAGAATGCATACTGGTACCCAGTTGACCTGATAATGGAATGATCACAAACACAGAGCAATTTTATACAAACAGGTTATCACATGAAAGGAAGAATGAAAGTAAAGAAGGAAGCTACACACAGTGAAAATACGTTCCAGAGAGAGTGGAAAGGGTCAGTCTCTACTAGGCTGAGCACAGCTGCCTTTTATAAGCCCACTAGTTTGTCTTGCCTTTCTCCTGGCAGGATTGGCAGTCGTTTCCTGCCTTTGGGGATGATTGACAGGTTGATGTTATGTAACAGGTTACATAACATGTTGGTTATGTAACAGTTTCCCCTTCTGCACATGCCTCTTCCCTAGAATTCTCCAGGAGGCTCCAGGAGAATGCTAATTAGATAGTAATGAGCTCTAGGTCAGTTAAAGGTCACTAGGAACTTTTTACTTTGTATGTTCCCATCTGCAATTTCGTTCCTAGCTACAATTCGGTTCCCGCTCTCCGCCATTAGCCACGTCCTTGCCACCTGTTTACCCTCCACCAGACTTAAGGGAGACGCTCTAGCTCCCTTCCCAACTTTTTGCCTCAGTCTCCAACCTCTAGCCCCACTGGGCCTGGCTATTAATTCTCCCAAAGGACATACTGAACCTGGCTGAGAGGTGGTGCCTGAATTCCTATAGGATTGACAGGCAGCTCTTCACTTTAATTCTCTTATTTCAAAAATTCACTGGTCATGGTCCAAAAGTTAGTGAGGGTGAAGGAGTTTTTGCACAGTAGATTTTTGGTACTGCTAATTGTCTGGAACTGATCTGAATTGAACTGGAAAGAAAAGAAAACAAACAAAAACCCCAAAATGCTGTTCATTTATTATTAATAGAATTACCAGTTAAAATGTAATTATCAAGAAAAACATAATTATTTTCCTTCAGATAGGGATTATAAATAAAACCTAAATGCCATTAAGCTTTGGTTCAAAAGCATGGAATTTAATTATATATTAACTTCCCCTATAGGAATATAAAAAAATTATTTGAAAATATCAACCGATTTAGTTAAATAAGAGGTTCATTATTTGCCTGCAATTTTATCAATTACCATGCAACATATAAAATTTAAATATCTGAAGCATGGTATTTCAGAAAATTGCCACTATTCATAATTTTGTTTTATTCGTATTTTACAAATTATGTTGACATAACTTCTGACTCTTCTCATGTTTATACAAATTTAATTTGTGTTCCCAAAGACTTCCAAACATATATCTTTTATAGCACCCAGCACATTGAATTCCACATTTTTGCTTACAATCCCCACTAGTAGAGAGTATGCTGTGTGTCTTATTGTTCTCTGTATCCCTGGCATCTACAAAGAGTATTAAACAATATAGGTACTCTGTAAATTTTTTGAATTGGATTTACTGGAAAATAGTACATATGAATTTTATTAAATATAAAGTAAAAACATATCATACCATATATTTTTCATTTACCTTTAAATAGCTATGGGATGTTAATTAGTTTGCTAAAAATTTTGGCACAATACCTAATGCTCTTAGACTAGAATTCAATAATAGGTCATATTTTACTCTGTTTTCTTATCTGTAAAATATTTTTCAGTGCTTAACACAATTACAGTAAATTGTCAATTAATTAAATAAGATATTATTAATAATTGCATTATATTTTATTGTGTATTTAATAACTTTGGCAACTTTACTGACAAGAAGCAATGTAAAAAGAATGCTGTACCTATTACCCAGCTTGCTTCTTTTTATTTTATTTCTAAGAGAAGGAGAAATATATAGTTTTGAGAGTAGTTTCCTTCAACTCAGAAACATAGACAAAAAAATCATGCAATATGACCATTCATATAAAGACAAAGGCTTGGTCCTAATTTGGTGTAGCCTTTTTTTTTTCTATGCACTTCATGCATTTACCTTTGTAATGTAGTTGCACCTACACATAATAACATGAGCATTTTTCCATATTGCCATAAACTCGTTATTGTAATTTTTAATCACTGCTAACATATGGATTGCATCCCTGTGTTGCTGAACTATAGTTTACCTATTCACTTCCTGATTAATGCACATTTTGGTTTTAATACATCTAATTTTTAAGTATTCTGTGTTTTTTTTTTCCTTTTAATTTGTGTAGCTGCAAAGCCCCGATGAAGGATTTGAAGACAAATCTCTATATGAGAGCTGGAGTGAAAAAAGTCCTTCTCTTGAGTTCAGTGGCATGCCCAGGTAAATAAACAAACAAAATCAAAACTTTCCACTGAATTGAGGGTGGGATTGTTTTGAAAATACAATGGTATTTTCTTTCAATCATTAATTTAAAACATTAACTTTCAAAATACTGTAAAATCTGATAAAGGAAAAGCATTACTTAGATTCACAAATAAAATATTACTGTGTGTTTTGAAGTTAAATCTATAGACCATCAAAAAATGATTATCTTTAGAATAGGTAATATATACACATGGCATATTAAAGAAAAATTTATATAGGTTGAGTATCCTTTCTCTGAAATGTGTGGGACCAGGAGGGTTTCAGATTTCAGATTTTTTTCAGATTTTGCAATATTTGCATTATACTTAACTGGTTGAACATCCCTAATCTGAACATCTGAAATTTGAAATGCATCAATGAGCATTTCCTTTGAGCATCATGTCAGTGCTCAAACACTTTTGAGTTTTGGAGCTTTTCAGATTAAGGATATTCAACCTGTAAGGGAGATAATGGTAAAAGCAATTCCCCTCATATTTCTGTTCTTTCATCACTCTGTCATTATTCTTTTTACTGATCATAGACTTAATAAATATTTTGTTTAGTCTAATAAAAATGTAAGAATCACTTCAGCATTGGTTATAGCTTCACAAGCAAGGGAAGAGGAATAAATATCTCAATAGTCAGAGATTATAGATACCAACAGCATGCATAATTTAAATTATTAGGGGCAGAATTTATGTCTGAATTACCTGGAAAATTGTTGCTTCTTTTCATTCTATCATATATAACAAATAAATATAAGGATGAAGTAATCTGAAGGAAATGTTTTCCAACTTCAGAAATCTTTTTTAAAATGTGACTTATAAAATAATCACCCCTATACCAAATTGTCTCATAAAAGTAGATTTTTTGTGATCAGAATTAATATTTCCTTTATTTTTTGCTGCATGTCTAAGACTACCCATTTAAAAATTGTATTTATAATAGTAAGAATGGAGTTTCATTGCTCTTTAATGTGCATTTGATGAAGAAATTACTCTCAAATAATTCTGTTATTTTACTTCTAAAAGGATTAGCAAATTGGGCTCAGGTAATGATTTTGAGGTGTTCTTCCAAAGACTTGGAATTGCTTCAGGCAGAGCACGGTATACTAAAAATTGGGTAAGTGTATCTCAATAAATATTTCAAGATTATTTATGAATGTATTTTAACTAAGCAAATAATTCTGACTCCAAAAAAGTGACTCAAGGAATAGAGGAATTTGAGATCAGAAAGGAGAAGCCTCCGTGGTTGATGGTGCTACCACTACACGGGATAGTTCCCGAATCTATCATCCTGAGCCCTATATTCAAGTGTCAGCTGGTATCAATACTCAGGTCTGCAAACTTGAACTTCCATGTACTCCCTTAAACATATTTTCTGTTTTATTTGCTGGCACTATATTCACTTAGTCATTTAAGTTAGAAATGTAAGAATTGTCTTGACCCTACTCTCCACATTTTCATTCAAAATTAATCAGTATCAAGTCCTGCAAATATTTGGATTTTTATCTCTTATTATATCTCTAATCATTAAACAGATAAAAAATCATTAAACGAATGACAAATAGCAAAAAACACTGAGAACACAAAAAAGCCATGATTCCTTTTCTTTCATTGTTGATATTTTTTTTAGTTTTCATTTCCATCAAAATAACATAAGTACATAGTTTATAAAATCTCAAGTAGTTCTGAGATTTATACTTAAATCTTTTTTTTTTCTTTTACTTTTATTTCAGCATATTATGGGGGTACAGATGTTTAGGTTATGTATGTTGCCCTTGGTCTCCCAGTCAAGTCCGTGTTTCAAATGTGTCCATCCTTTGGGTGGTGTGCATTGCACTCCTTCTGTATACAAATGCCCGTCCCCTCCTCACTCCTCTCTCCTCCCCCCGTCCCCTCCCCCCTGCCAAACATCCAATAGATGTTACTCTTATATGTGCATTTATGTGTTGATTAGTTAATACCAATTTGATGGTGAGTACAAATGGATCCCGTTCTTCTGCTCTTGTGGTGCCCCACTTTGGATAATGGGCTTAAGTTTAATCCAAGAAAGTATAAGAGGTGCTAGATCACTGTCATTTCTTATGATTGAGTAATATTCCATTGTAAACATATACCAAATTTTGATAATCCACTCATGGATTGACGGGCACTTGGGTTGTTTCCACATTCTTGCAATAGTGAATTGTGCTGCCATAAACATTTAGGTGAGGATGTCTTTATCGTAGAATGTTTTGTGTTCTTTTGGGTAGATGCTTAATAGTGCTATTGCAGGATCGAATGGTATTTCTATTCTTAGCTCTCTGAGGTATCTCCAAATTCTTTTCCACAGAGGTTGCACTAATTTGAAGTCCCACCAGCAGTGTAGAAGTGTTCCTGTCTCTCCACATCCTCGCCAACATTTGTTGTTTTGTGTTTTTTTTCATAGAGGCCAATCTCACCGGGGTTAGGTGATACCTCATTGTGGTTTTGATTTGCATTTCTCTAATGATTAGAGATGTTGAGCATTTTTTTTATATGTTTGCTGGCCAATATTCTGTCTTCTTTTCAAAAGTTTCTGTTCATTTCCCTTGCCCATTTGTTGATGGGGTTGTTTGACTTTTTCTCGTTGATTTTTTTGAGTTCTAGATAGATTCTGGTTATCAGCCCTTTATCAGATGTGTAGAGAGCAAATATTTTTTCCCATTCTGTGGGCTGTCTATTCACTCTAATGATAGTTTCCTTGGCAGTGCACAAGCTTTTTATTTTGATTAGATCCCACTTATTTATTTTCGTTGCTGCGGCGATTGCTTTGGGGTTCTCCTTGAAGAATTGCTTGCCTAGGCCAATGTCTGAGAGGATCTTCCCAACATCTTCATTTAGAATTCTTAAGGTTTCATGCCTTACGTTTAAGTCTGTTATCCACTTTAAATTGATTTTTGTGAGAGGTGAGAGGTGGGGGTCTAGTTTCAGTCTTCTGCATGTAGCTATCCAGTTTTCCCAGCACCATTTATTGAAAAGAGATTCTTTTCCCCAGTGTATGTTTTTGTCAGCTTTGTCAAAGATTAGATTACCATATGCAGATGGTTTCATCTCTGGATTCTCAGTCCTGTTCCAGAGGTCAATGTCTCTATTTTTGTGCCAGTACCAAGCTGTTTTAATCACTACAGCCTGGTACTACAGCTTAAAGGCTGGTAAACTGATACCTCGAAGTTTGTTCTTTTTACTTAAGATTGCTTTGGCTATACGAGGTCTTTTCTGGTTACATACGAAGCGTACAATTATTTTTTCCAGATCTGTGGAGAATGATAATGGGATTTTGATAGGGATTCCATTAATTCTGTAGATCACGTTAGGTAGTATGGACATTTTAACGATATTGATTCTACCAATCCATGAGCAAGGTAGGTTTTTCCATCTGTTTACATCTTCTACAATTTCTTTTTTTAGTGTTTCATAGTTATCCCTGTATAAGTCTCTTACATCTTTCATTAGATATATTCCTAGATATTTAATTTTCTTTGAGGCTATTGTAAAAGGAATTGCGTTTTTGATTTGATCTTCTGCCTCACTGTTGTTGGCATATATCAATGCCTCGGATTTGTGTGTGTTGATTTTGTAGCCTGAGACTTTGCTGAATTCGTTTATCAGTTCTAGGAGTCTCTTAGATGAGTCTTTGGGGTTTTCTAGATATAATATCATATCTTCGGCAAGGAGCGAGAGTTTGATCTCGTCTGTCCCCATTTGGACACCCTTAATATCCCTCTTCTCCCTAATTGCTGTGGCGAGGATTTCGAGCACTATGTTGAATAGAAGTGGAGATAGAGGACAGCCTTGTCTGCTTCCGGTTCTAAGTGGGAGTGGTTTCAATTTTTCCCCATTCAGTATGATATTGGCAGTGGGTTTCTCATAGATGGACTTGATAATTTTAAGGAATGAGCTGTCTATGCCTATTTGGTGAGAGTTTTTATCATAAAGTTGTGCTGGACTTTGTCAAATGCTTTTTCTGCAACTATCCAAAGAATCATATGGTCTTTGTTCTTCCTTTTATTTATGTGGCGAATTGCACTTATAGATTTGCATATGTTAAACCAGCCTTGCATCCCTGGAATAAAGCCCAACTGGTCATGGAGAATTATTTTTTTGATGCGCTGCTGAATTCTATTTGCTAAAATTCTGTTGAGGATTTTTGCATCTATATTCATGAGGGATATTGGTCTGTGGTTTTCTTTTTTTGTTGTCTCCTTTCTTGGCTTTGGTATCAAGGTGATATTGGCTTTGTAGAATGAGTTAGGAAGGATGCCATCTTTCTCAATATTGTGGAATAATTTCTGGAGTATAGGTGTGTGTTCACCTTTGAATGTTTGGTAAAACTCTGGAGTGTAACCATCTGGTCTCGGGCTTTTACGCTTTGGGAGGTTTTTTTTGCTGCTCCAATTTCTCAACTTGAAATTGGTCTATTCAGATATTCTGTTACCTCTTGGGTGAACTTAGGGAGGTTGTATGTTTCCAGGAATTTGTCCATTTCCTCCTCGTTATATAGTTTTTGGGCATATAGGTTTTTGTAGTAATCAAAAATAATGTTTTGGG